GGGGGGGGGAGTTGAGTTGATTAAGGGAAGGGAAACCACACTGGAATTTCCCAGTACTCAGACAGTGCAAAACAACCTCTCAGGGGCCCTCACACACATATTCTTTCCAGAAAGTTGACACTTATGAAACAATAGAACCCTGAATTCATGGCACCATTTACTTCAACAATTACACTTTAATCAGACACTTGCATGTTGCAGTCTCCATTTCTTTCAACAGAACTCCAATTTCCATACATGTGTAAGTGCTGTTCTTAGACCTGTTTTTTATATTTTATTATATGAAAACTTAAAAAAGCCTTTGGAAGACTCCCCTTATAGTTAAGTTTTAAATTTACAATTTCATAACAATGAGATTTACACAGAACATTGGTGATATTTTGGACTATAACTCTTTGGGGATATAATTCACTGCACAACAGAGTCAAATTCTACCCTCCTATGACCTGTATTTCACTCCCACTAAAGTCAGTGGGAAAGTGTGTGCACTGCTAAAGATGGAATTTGGAAACACTAAAGCAACCGTTAGTCTGCGTATAAGGAGACCAAATATTCTGGGTACTGTATTGGAAACGGGTAATCTCAGGTATTTTCTTACCCACTGAGTTTCATGTTTGGTTTTGTTTTTTTGGTGGGGGTGAGGGTGTGCAGAAGCTCTCTACTCCTAACTTTTGATAAATTTTTAAAATTTTTCCTGCCTGTTCCTTTCTACACCACAAATATTTCAACACTGTTGATGCGGCCTGGAAAGACTAGGATAGTGGTCCAGTGTTGGCAAGACTAGAAAAGAGACACAGCTTACAAGAAACAGAACAAGTGACTTTGAAGACTCAGTTGGTGATGGCCCTTGGCACACTTTGGTCACAGTGAGAAGTGAGCACAAAGACTTGAGTGTAAAAATGCTGACTTGCAAGCACATAGCATTCTGTTCAAGCCCTGCCTGACAAACCAAATGGGAGCAGTTTCCAAACAGTAACTGAAAGGGGTGAAGGACCAGATTTTTAAATGTATTTAGGCAACTGAGGATGCAGATAAGCATCTAGTGGGATTTTCAGAAGAATCGACACACCCATCTGCATCTAAATACCTTTAAAAAATCTATCCCAAAGCCTCATGTCCCGCCTCAAAAGTCAAGTCACAAAATGAGCCATTCCTAGAGGACTCTGGCTGTACAAGCCCTCCTCCATGCAAGCAGCAGTAATCTTATAGGAATGCCCATCTTAAGCAGTGATCAATAGTACCAGATATTCTCAGTACAGTTTGTGAAGGATTATAACAAAGGAAAATTAGAGTTATATCTACAGCTATCCATTTGATTTGGTTTGTGGCTTCTTTAAATATTTAGGTCTCCCATAGTACATCATGTGTGTCTCTACACTGTCTAGTATCTCATTGTTGATTCGCAGGACATCTGGATCAGTCTGATTGTTTTCTTTGATGTCATACAAGTGCTGCAAGCCACCTTCTTCAATTAACATGCTACAGTACCTGGCAGCTGAAATGAAAGAGAGAAAGTGCATCTTTATTAGGGACTTTGCTAAGAGTGTGTCAAAATGACAACTTACATTAGGAGAAAAATTCAAGTGTTAGCTAATCCAGTTATGCTGCCTCTGACTTCAGCCAATATTTAGACTACATCATTAGCGATGCAGTTAAATTGACACGCACAATATTAGATAGGATTTTAAATAGTACTTAGCATTGGATTGATTGTTCCCATTTATGACGACTTCAATGAGGGCAGAATAATGCTAACGTTCAGTGCTTTTGGAAATACCATCCTTAGAGTAATAAAACTGTTAAATATTGAGGGGAGGATCAACATTTCCCAGATATAGTTAAATGAACTGGAACAGGATTTGGAATCAAACTAGTTTATTAAAAACTGAGTTGTAAACAGGCTACTAAGTTGACATTGACTTTAGTGCACGCATATGCAGATTGGCTGACTATACACTACTGCTCTTTAAAGCTACCCCGTGATCATACGTGGGTCCAATTATTTGATGTACATTACATAAATGGTTTTGTAGTCCACAATACTCTTTACAAATTTATAAACTACTACAGATGTATAAAGACCACTTCACTCCACACTGCTAGAGCTGCCCCAGAGGTGGAATATGGCATACAGCCATGCTACACAACAGTTTAGGGCAGGAAGAGGAGTGGAATACAGCATCCACACTGACACTGTAGGAAATAGTAGGTAAAACCATATTCTAAAGAGGATTACAGGGTTTTTAAAAAAAGATCAGAACTTCGGTTTTAAAAAGTTTCCTCTGAAACACCGTACCTCCAACAGAACAGTGCCACGAACACCATGTTGGGGAACTGGCTCAATAGCACCTCCAATTATACCCTCTTTTTCAACTCACTGCAACACCCATAGCATAATGTTGCCACAGATCCCACCTCATATATCCTGAGAGCAAGTATCCTGACATTACCCGGCTTTAAGGTAGAAACTTGGTGCATCCGCCAAACATTATGATAATTTCCAAACACTTAGGATATCAAAATGAACACAACCCAAGTACTTTTGGTAACTGCTCCCTTACACAGAAATATTCCTCATAAAAATTGCCATTTAGTTTGATGGTATGGAGGACACCTTAGGAAATGCTCAAGAGCAGAACAGTGAAGTCCCAAAAGCAATGGGGTGAGTAGGGATGACACATCCATCAACTCTCACACATATGTACACATTAACATAAAAAAACAAAGCAGGCAGCAATGAGACTTGTTAGTTACAATACATCTGCGAATTCTACAGGATTGTTTTTTCAATTTAAAGAGAATACATTGTTTGCAGAATTGCATTACTTACTCATGAGTAAGGCTGTGAGTCTGTCATGGAAGTCATGGATTCCGTGACTTTCCGGGACCTCCATGACTTCTGCAGCCTGCAGATGTGCCTGACAGCAGGTCCACCTGGGGACCAGCCTCACCAGTCCCCCCTCAGCGGCGGTGGTCCCGGGCCACGCCCTGACAGCAGTGACAGTGGCAGTCCCGGGCCACTCCCCACCCCTGAGCTCCAGCGGACGCCCCTGAGCCATCCCCCGCCCCAGCTCCAGCGGACTCCCCCAGAGCCATCCCCCGCCCCAGCTCCAGCGGACG